GAGCTAACCCGCCTGGGGGACGACGTAAAGAAAGCGCGCAAGCTGCTGAGGACACAGCAAGCCAAACTCTTAGACGCAGAGGCAGCCATAGATATCAAACACAGGATGAAGCATGTCGGGTTATCCGAGCTGGGCGCGGGCCTTCGCAGCTGCGGAGGCGCGGCGGGTCGAACGTCGAGGTGCGACGCGCTGAATCGCCCGGCGATTTTGGGTTCTGGGCTTTCTGCAGCTCAGCGGTCAGAGTTTGAGTGGTTTCGGCGGGAATGGGACGCCGCTGGCATGGAGGACTTCGGTGGGAAGTGGCCGGAGACGTTTGCCACGTGGTTGCAGAACGTCATAGACGAGTACTTGGGAGGCAACCCGAGAGCTTTCAGCATGTTTATGCACAGTGAGACGCGACGCCGTCTGTCTGGCTCCCCGGCGCTTGCGCCCCCTGCAGCTGGGGGCCTCTGAGAGGCGCGGCCCGCCGCAGCAGCGGCGAGGCGCGGGGTGTGAGTTCGGGCAGCAGCCACTGCTCTTCCACCTGGCTGCGACTGAGGTGCCGCGTGCGCGCGCGGACGTAGCGCAGGCCCTATGCAGAAGAAACAGGGGAGGAGGGAGGACGGGGGAGGAGGTGAGAGGAGGGGGAGAGCAGGCAGGGGGAGAAAACCACGCGGGTGTCGATCACTCCGCCCCTCCTCCTGCTCTCCCCCCTCCTTCTCCCTGATCACCCTCCTGGTCATTATCTCATTCCTCCCTCTCCGCGTCCGTCTCTCTCTCTCTCTCTCTCTCTCTCTCTCTCTCTCTCTCTCTCTCTCTCTCTCTCTCTCTCTCTCTCTCTCGTTATCGTCGTCCGTCTCTCTCTCTCTCTCTCTCTCTCTCTCTCTCTCTCTCTCCTCTCTCTCTCTCTCTCTCTCTCTCTCTCTCTCTCTCTCTCTCTCTCTCTGCTCTCGTGGCGTGCCGTTTCGGCGGAACTGTGAGGCAGCAGAGCAGGAGGCAGCAGTCCTACAGCAGGCCAGGGAAGAGCCGACGCGCCGGCGACTGCCGAGCGCGGACGGCCGCCAGCCGGCAGACAGCGGCGCGGCGTTCAGCCGTCCCGCTCCAGCTCCTGCGAAAGAAGAGCGGCAAACAGCAGCGGAACGACAACGTGGGCGGTGGGCCCTTTGAGTTGTCGGCATTGCCCCGCAGCAGACGCGGATGGGCGGACAGCAAGAGGAAGTCGTGCTGCGAGTGTTGGCGATTGCCAACAGCTCCAGAATCGACCAGAGTACGAATACTTGACCCTGCGCGGGCGTGAGGACAAGTCCTTGTGCATCGCTGCGCGCGCAAATCTGCGTTACGCAATGCGGCTGCTCCACTGGGAAAGGAGTGTCGACGGCCACTACAAAACTGCAAAAGGGAACAAGATGGAAGCGTTCTCGAGGATCATGGTGGTTGAGGTCTACTTCGATCAAACCTACGCCCACTTCGGCTCGAAAGTGCGGGTGTGCGCGGTGCACCTCCACCGCGACACGGCGAAAGGTTCCAAAGGCTTTAAGGAGGCTCACAAGACGTGGTGGCGGAGGCTGGCGGCCATCTTGCAGGACAACAACGTTGACATCCTTTGTAGTGATTTCAACATGGCGCTCACACAGACGCTGCCGAGTCTTCGGGGTCTAGGCATGCGGTTGGAGACGGCAGCAGCGTACTTCTGGCGCGGATTGGACGGCGCTCCGTGCTTGGACAGCTGCGGCATCTTCGTTCTCAACAGGCCTGGCGAGTGCACCCTGTGCTGGCCGCTGAGCGCCGTGCGCGACAGAGACGAGACGGGGTTGCTCTTCGCACGCAAGTCGGTGATCGGTGAGATCGGGTACCGTAACAGAAGCAAGGCAGAGGCCCCCGCAGCAGCGGGGGCCTCCACCAGCCCATCATCGGAGCCGACGTACTGGCGCCACTGCCAGGACGGAGGCCCTGGGATGCCTTACGATCGCTACTACCCGAAAAAAGACGCCCGCAAGCACCTCCAGGATTTACTGACTCAGTCAGAGGAATGCCAACGCAAGATCCAAGAGAAGGAGCGCGAGAAACTGAGGCGCGCCGAGGCTGAGGCTAGAGGGGACCACCGCTTCTCTAATAATCGCGAGGCGACCCTCTTCCGCGCGTTGCAGGAGACGTTCCCGCTGGAGACCGTGGAGGTGGAGGGGCGCTGGCACGGCGGCGCCCACTACCCTCTCCTGTTCCAAATGCGCGTGGCCAGCTCGCGTTCGCGTTCGAAGGACAGGCGCGCCCAGAAACAGCAAGCAGCTGCGCCCCAGGGCGCCGCAGCAGCGGCGCCCGAGCAGCACGGACCCGAGCGCCAGGCGCCAGAGCAGCACCGCGAGAGGGACGAGCAAGACGAGCGCGCCCAACAGGCGTGGCGCCCACCAAGATGGGCAGACGAAAACGCGGACGACGGCCGCGACTGGCCCGCGGCTGGCGATGGAAGGTCGCGGCGGGGGGTTGAAAGGGGGAGGGAGGGAGAGGGGGGGTGGAGCACGGGGAG